CAGGAGCTTCCCAACCTCCTCCGGAAGATGCTGCTGCCCACAAGCCCCTCTCTATCTCCCCCAGGTGACGGAGGCACACAAGATGCTCCCTATGCCGGGGGTGGGGGAGTTAGTAAAGGTTCTGTCCGCAACACTCTTTCTCTGCCCCTTTTCTCCTTCGCCTCTACCTCTCTCCCGATCTCTGTCTCTATGGCTATTTGCCCTGAAGAGTCCAAGAATCCATGCTGGAAATCCCACTGAAATGATTGGTGTGCATTTTCTCAGCGCTTGTTGGGTCCTCATGAGCATCAGAATTTCCAGGGGTCTTGTGTGCCTTCAGACAGGCCCTCACTCCTGCTCACAGCATGGCCATTCTCATCCTCTGCTCCCACTGGAGAGACACTCTCCGGGGGCCCTGTGGGGAAGGGCTGGGATAGGAGGAGGGCCGGGAAGCAGCTGAGTGGCTTCTCTAGGGCTCAGCCAGCTGCAGCCCCTCAGTTGTTCCCAGGCTCCTTTGCAGAGGCCTGCCCCACCTCTTCCTGGGGTTCAAGGACCTTGAGGGTGTCTTGAGAACATTGAAGAGAAAGGAGGCAGCCTCTGAAAGCCACAAGTACAGCTCCACCTCTTGAATCACTATGAGGCCTCAAGCAAGACGCTCAGATTTCCTGAACCTCAGCTTCCTCATCAGTAAAATGGGCACACTTCACCTGTCTGACAGGGAGGTTGTAAAGATTAACGAGACTGTTGCGAAATACTGTATCAGATGGCAGTACGTCCTCGGTAAAAGTTAGATGACACCATCGTCATTATGGTCACCATTATCATCACCTCTCTGCATGTTCATTGAATGAATAACTGAGCAGAAAAGGGGAGTGCTCCAGGGAGGCCTGTCAGGGGAAGAGGAAGGGCGGGGCTTGGGCTGGGCACCCAGCACCACTCCTGACACAGAGAAACATGCTGGGAAAACAGCAACAGCAAAACCACATCAGAGCCCGGCCCGTTCCAACTAAGCCCCTTAATGCTCATTAACCCTCTGAGCCTGTGGGCCCATGCTAGGTACTGTCTTCCCCATTTTACAGATGAGGACACTGAGACGTTGGTCCAAGCTGGTCTAGGAAAAATGAGGCGAGTTGTCCTGGAGTCCAAGTTCCCAGAGCTTATTCTGAGTGATCCATGCAGGCGGCACCATCGGAGCTAGGCCACTGGCTCCCTGCCCCTGCCCTGTTTCACTAAATCTATAATCCATTCATTCATCTCATCTACCTGGCATGGATAGCGATCCGCACATCAAGAGAGGAACAGTTCAATGCGCAGATGCCAGCAATAGTGCAAGCTGGAGTCACGGACAGAGGTAGGGAGCAGTCCCCTCCCCACTAAAGGCCAAGAATATTCTGAACTCACACCTCTCCACTCTTCCTGGTTACCCCCTCCCCCAGAACAGCCATGTCTCCCTCACCCTCCTTCTGGGCAGCCCGGGGACTACTGGTGACTTTAGCAACAACTCTGGGAGCAGATCTAAGCTCTGCTACTTAGGAGATATGTGAAATTGAATGGCTGGCTTGCTCATTCTCAGCCTCCATTTTTTATCTATAAAATGACCCCAAGGGTCGTTATGAAGACTAAGCTGATCCCCTAGACCATTACATCAGGCACCCAGGAAATGTTTGTTGATTGACTGAATGAATGACCAGATGGTATCATTCCCTTTTAAAGTGCTCTGGCTTTGAGGCTGCAAAAACACCATGATTCCCCCTGGCACTGAGTGGCGAGGGTAAGGCAGCAGAGGCTATGAAACCACACTGAGGGCAACCTCGCAGGCCACAGAAATGCCTGTATGCTCACAGCCCAGCCTTCCTTATATCTACCTGGCTTGAAGGTGAGTGTAGATTCCAACTAAAATAGCCCAAATTTGGAAATCTAATCACCCCAATCACAAAGTACATAACGAGCCAGTGCATGAGGAAGAAAACAAAAATTCACACTGCCAGATAGGACACCACAATCACAGTCTCCAATGCCACGCAAGGCCTCACACCCAACCACACGTACACACTCACTCACAACCTCAAAGAGCCAACCACATACCCCAGTGACACGCGGCCACCATCAGTCTCATCCCCCTACATCTCAGCAGGTCACATCTAGACTCACAAAACAGCACTGCACCCACAGCCCCCCCCACCCCCTCCTCTGCAATAACAACCATCCCCCATCCCCACACAGCCAAGCCCACAACTGCCCACCCACAGCCCTGCATAGCTCAGGGGCTCCCAGAGCCCATCATCCCCACCCACTCACACCCTCGGCCTCCCATACAGCAGGCCCTGATCCTCTTGCACAGCCCACAGGTAATTTGTTATTTGCTCCAAACATCCCTTTGAAAGCCCAGTAACTGGATTGGGGCTACTCCCAGAGCCTCTGCCCACAAGAAGGTGTTTTGTTTTTGCTTCTTTGCTTGCACCAGCGTACTTTCTCCAGCCCACAGAAGTCTCAGAGGCTCAGTGACAGCCTGTGGCCTCCTCCCCTCCCCCAGTCCCAGTCCCTGCCTTCACAGGAGGTTTAGGAAGCAGGGCTGTTGGTTTTTCCAAGGTAGGATGACCTGCTAGGCCCCTTGGGGTGCCCCAGCAAGAGTTCCCACAGGGCCTTGCAGAGAACGTGCTAAGCCTGGTGCTGTGCCAGCCTGAATTCCCAGGGTGTCAGGGGCCTGGCCACCGTGGGGGAGCCGTCCACATCCTTCTCCCAGGCTCCGGCCTGGACCTGTGGTAAGGACACTGGCACACAAGTCTGACACATAGTAGGACCTCCTTAATGCTGCTGCCAGCCTGGCCTGGGTGGTAAGGAGCCCCAATGTGTGCTCCACTGATCAGGGCCTGAGTGGGCTGGGAGAGAAAACAGACACAGGATACCTCTGCCACCTGGGACTTCAGCCCCCCTGTCTAGGAAATAGGGGAGAAGGAAGGTAGGTGGGGGGCTGTCTGCACATGGGTTGCCCCACCCCCGCCCTGCCAGCCTTGGGCTCCACAGAGTTGCTGAGGACTCAGGGCATGTCTGCAGGTTAGCCGGGATCTGGATCCCCTACGGTTGGTCACACCCAGCACAGAAGGCGGGTGGGGTGGCAGCCTCCCTCTCTGCCTCGTCTGCCTAACCCCCTGGCCCCATGAGAGGCTAAAGACCTGGCGACCTGAGGAAGGAAAGAAGCAGGAGAGGGGAGAGGGGAGAGGGGCCTTAAAGGAGAGATGGAAGGACCTGGGGCCGAAGCCCTGGGCCCAGAGATAGTGCGGGGCCGGGGTGGTGCTGCTCTCTGGGCCTGCGGTGTGAGGCTCCCGGCAACTCCGGAAGGGCCAGCACCCTCTGGTCAGGCCCACTGGGAAGATAAGGGGAGAGAAAGGGACAAAAACAAACGTAAAAAGGGATTAATAACCGCGGAGAGAAGGAACAGGGGAGCCCTGGCCACAGACGCACAGGAAGGAGCTGCACGGCCCTCCTGGAGGGAGGACACCAGCCCTGGAACAGGGAACCCCTGCGATTGCATCTTTCAGAAACAGATCGTCACCTACCATTGCCCCAGGGGCCCAGCCCCAAGACACGTGTGTCAGCTCAGGGCAGCAAAGGGCTGCTCGGGGATGCGTCTACCCACTGACCTTCTGACCTGGGAGTCTCAGGCCCTTCCTGGGGCTACTTGGAGACGCATGCTCCACCCTGCAAAGCTCAGCCCCAAGAGGCCTCTGGAGGTGCTCAATGTCCAAACAACAGAGGCACTCCAGTGGCCCCCTCACCGCCTCTCCTACAGGCTGCCCGCAAAAATTCCTGGGCCGGGGGTGAAGCAGGGGCTGGGCTGAGATCCTGGAGCAACCTGCAACTGGGCATGGCCCAGCACAGAGCAAGGGCAGTTCATGCCCTGAAACGCCCAGGCAAGGCCTGTCCTTATGAAATTTCCTTTTTTGTCCCCACAAATTTTCACTCTGTTCAAGATTTTGCTGATCGCAAATTTATCCCTCAGAATGAAAGCCTGGCAGAGCAGTAATTCTCTTGGACAGGCAAAGAATGGAAAAAGGGGCCAGAGGCCGCCTCCTCCCACCCACTGGCTAGACGAAGAGATATGCCCCTCCATGACCGCCTCCCTCAGTTTCCCCATTGTTGCCTTACTAGGGTTAGATAATTCTTGAGGTTCCCTCTTGTTCAAATATCCTATGGTTTTCTGGGAAGACCACCATGACCCCAAAATCAAGGAGTAGCCCCGCCCATCCTGCAGGACCTCAGACGAAGGCCCGGCCTCCGGGCTGCCATTCTGCCATGGGGAACAGGTGGACAAGCGGTGGCACCTGAGCTCAAATGCCCAGGGTGACACTACAAGCTGTGTGACCTCAGGCAAGCTCTGAACCTCTCTGAACTCCGTGTCCCAAGCTTTGGAAAATGAAGATGCAACCATTCCCCACAAAGGTGTGACAGAGGGACTACACAGCAACCCCACTCAGTGGCTAGCTCATGTCCCACCTGGAGCTGCACTCGAACTGTTCTTACTATTACAGTCACCACCACCTGCCACCCTTACAATCCCACAGGGATGGGCAATTAGCAGCCTCGAGGTGTGATTGCAGGTTATACTTCCAGCCCAAGATAGGGGGCCTCCTCTGGGGTCCAGGCCTCTGAACTAGTAAGTGGAGGTGTGCACAGAGGTCAGGTGGGCTTGTGTCCTCGGTTTCACGTTCCTTTCCCTGGAGGGGGGCTTCGCTGGCACTTTCAAATGGTAATAGATGCAGTCTTGGTGAAACATAATTAGTTTGGGGACTAGAAGGGTAAACAAATGTGTAACTCATGAATTTGCTAATTGTCCTTCATTTTGATCTTCTGCCACTTCTCCTAGATTCTGACATCCGTGCTTGTGGCAAGGACTCAGAGCGCCGGCGCGGGCCAGGGAGGCAACTGGCCTCCAAGCCTCACACCTGGTCTTGCTCTTTCCCCAGCCGCCACCTCCAGCCCAGGCCCCACCGCCCCACATAACACGCAAGGCAGGAAGCCCGTGGCACTCAATCTTTTATTTTTCTTAAACTGTACACAAATGTAAAATACTTTAACAGCAAGTCTATGGGAAAATTGTTTGGTTTTAAATTATTATGAAACAGAACCTAAGGGGAGCTTTATTAAATAAACATAAAGATGGGGATTTAAGGATACACACCTGCATTCTACCATCGTCATTCTTACTCTACCTTCTGGGTGTGTAAGGATAGAAAAAGACACATCAAACTGAATAAACAAAATCCATTTATACCCTGAAACATTGGCAGGCCACTCAAGGGATTGTTCAGAACGTTATCTCATATAAGATGGCCTCACCATCTAATAAAAATTAAAACTGATCTGTTGGCCTCTTTGGTTCCAAAATTATGTATAATACATTAAACTGTATTTTTTTTTTTTGCTGCTATAAAAATAACTTCTTTTTTCAAATGGCAGTTTCTGACTAATCATGCAACTAAATCAGTGCAAACATTAAAAGCAATCATTCGCTTAAAAAAGAAGCAAAGGATTTCATTTCAAGTATAAAAAATATAAAAAGAGTCGTACGAGTCCAGTTTCATCTAGTGTGGGTCAACCCTTTAAATTGCATAGTTCACGTGCACTTGGTCATCTAGGGGCGAGCGAGTTCAGTGCTCTGCCAAGGGCCACTTCTGGACACACGCAGATGGGCAAGTGCTATATCATGTGCGTTCAGGCAGGTCTGCAAGTGCTAGGAGGGGCGGGCAGGCGGGCAGGCGGGTGGGCCCACATCCGTGGCCGGCCCTGGTGGAGTCCACGTGGGCAACTTCTGCAAAGCAGTTGAAAACCTTCCCCATCTCTCCAAAGACCAGTTAAACTGCTCCCCTCCCTCACCCCTTGCTGAGAGGGCACCTGCCCATCCCCCCCAGCATTTCCAGAATACCCCCAAACCACCATTTCCTCCTCTGGGCGCCTCCTCTTGCCTGGGGTCATTTCCACCCCTCCCCATCGGATCCTGGAGGAAAAGCCCTGGTTGGAGGATGCAGAATGCAACTTTTTTTTTCCTTCCCATTCATATCAATTCAAATTTTAATTTAAAAGGTCATACTAGTAAAGTCCCTTATCAATTATACAGTTGGAATGAATGACCTGTCAACTGCTACTGATCAGTTAAAGCATCAAATTAAAACCGACCATTTTTACTCCCTCCCCCTCCCCAGCCCCAAAACACACACACACACATCTAAGTCACCGGGGGACCCAAGCCATAGTCAAAAGGTCATCAGGTCATCGCCACTGCTCCACAGTCTCTAGCAGGTTGTGTCCATTCCGGATCTCTTTCCCTGTACAGGAGCAGGAGAGGACTGGCACCCCTGGTCCTGTGGCATGAAGAATCCCGGGCAGGTATCCTGGCGCGCGTTGGAACAGAAGATGTTGAGGCAAGGCTGCCCTTGCACAAGCAAAAGGGGACACGCAGCCCTCCCACCTGCCTGCAGCCTCCCCACCCCCGCATCTGCTTTTCCTCCCAGTGGCTCTCATGCTCGCTCTCTCTCTGTGTCTCTGTCTTTGTGCTTTTATGTGTGCTCGGAAGGCGCGATTCAGAGTGGCCGGGCCAGCTGGTGGGAATGGTGGCTGCTCACCCCATTCTCTCCCACTGACAGGCATTGGTAGCTAAGCTGCCATTTGTCACCGCATCCATTTGCTGGTATCCTGGAGGCTGCTGTGTGGGTGGCAGGATGCGTCTGGCTGTGCGTGTCTACGTGTGCATTTTAAAGTATTTCATGTCATTTGAGGGTTCCCACTCTGGTTTTGACTGACTGCTCGATGAAGTAGTAGGAAAATGGTTCAGTCCTTACCCTGGCACCTTCCAGGCACCCCAATGGAACCACCGCGCTCAACCCACGATGCACCCTGCTCCCGTCGGGGCTGAAAGGAGCCCATCCGGGATTGTCTTTGCACCCGGCTGCGGCAGCCTGGCCGCTGCAGCCCCGCCAACGCCACCGTCAGGCGCAGCCGCACTCCTCCACGATCATGTTGGGCACGTCCCGCTTGACAATGTTGTACTCGTCGTCAAAGTAGAGCATGGACATGGTGCTCAGCTTGGTGGGGATGCAGCAGGAGTTCACCGTGCCGGGGTTCAGGCCCCGCATGCGGTACTGATTCACCACGGCTGTGTGGAAGGAGGAGGCAGAGCCAGGGACTCCCGCCAGGTAGGCCGGGCAGCTGCCTTCACAGTAGTTCCCATAGTAGCCAGTGGGCGCGATGATCCAATCATTCCAACCGATGAGGCGGAAGTCGATGAAGAACTGTTGCCTGCAACAGAGGTTGGTCCGGCCATCACACTCCAGGCCCCGCTTTCGAATGCGGTGCCTGCTGTCACCCAGCCGTGCCTGCACGACCACAAAGGGCCGGTGCGACTCCTCACCAGGGTCCACAAACACAGGCACCACGGCCAGCTCCTGGCAGCCATCGCACTGCACGTCCAGGTTGAGTCGCCGCTCGCCCCGCTCAAACAAGGCCTGGATGGCCTCCGTGAGCGGGAAGGTGTGCCAGCCGCTGCGCTTGAGGTCCACCCTCTTCTCCACCACATTCCACCGGTCTCCGTGGCCCTGCTCCTGGAAGTACACCTTGACCCGCACCTTCCGCCGACTGCCCTTCTCCAGGACGTAGGGCAGCAGTTTCAGGTAAAGCCACAGGCTGGCCTGTACCACAAACAGGTTCTGGTTGCCTTCGTTGGAGATGAAGAAGTACAGGCGGACCCGGGAGGAGGCGAGGCCATCTGCAGAGAAGTGGGAGAGCAGGCCAAGTTAATTCAAGGAGAACACAAGGCAATGGGGGAAAGAGACTGCTGCTCGATGCTGGAATGTGAGCGCGCCACGCAGCTGGAAAACGTTATTGACCAGAAACACCGATCCTGGGGCCAGGGTCTCTGACGGCAACCGTAATAGCAAAGAAAATGGTCTCCCATTGAGAAACCCAGATCAGGTTGGAGCTGGAGGGTCCAGGCCTAGAAAACCCTGCCTCACCTCTCCCGGGCCAGGGCTCCCTGGAGACAGGCTATCAGGCCTCAAAGTTCAACAGAGGAACTTGTCAGGAGGCCAAGATCCTAACAAGTTGTTATGGGTATCTGCAAAATCTGAAAAACAAAACCAGGATCACACCAAAGATCTGGGGGTGGGTTGCTCCAGGAGAGTTTTGAGATTTTTTTTGTTTTGTTTTTCAGAGGGGTTTTGTTTTTGTTTTGTTTTTTTTTTTTGTTGTTGTTGTTGGTTTTTGGTTTTTTTTTTTTTTTTTTTTTTTTTTTGGTTAACTTAGGGCATTGCAAAATCAAGCTGAGCCACCTACTGCCTCTTTCCAGTGTTTACCTAAGCATGATCTGATCCAACCCCAGTAGAACCTCCACTGCAAACAAGCGAGCCCTACTCAGATTTCTGACACAGTAACGTGTGCTTGGGAGACTGCAAAGCGCAGTCCTCCTTTCTGAGTAATTGCAAGGGACAGGACATTCAGTCTTGATTCTTGAGGTCTACTCCTTTGAGGAGACCCTGGCTCCCCGTTAATGGGGTGTTCAAAATCTCCATTAAAAGGGGGGGAGGCTGGCTTATTAGTTTTCTCAATAATTCAGCTCAACCAGAAGAGAGGCTGTGCCAACCAGAGACAATCCTCTCTCATCCAGCATTTCAGTGACCCTTCACTCTGACAATCTCTACTTTTTCTTTTCTGTCTGTATTTCTTTCTTTCTTTCTTTTCTTTTCTTTTCTTTTTTTTTTTTCCAGGAAGAACAAATAAGGCAACTGTGTGACCATGGCTGGTTTCATCAAACCTCCTACCACTGCTCCCCTCCGGCCCCCTCCTCAGGCCTGGCTCTTCTAATAACACTGACATCTGACTTTGAAATGGGGGAAAGTGCAGCCTTAAAAGCTGGTCTTGGACGAGCTGCCTGTGACCTGAATCTGTTATTTATAAGTCAAAGAGCTGGCTCCGTGAAACGGACCAGAAATATAACAGCCCCTGCTGTCATTTTGTGCCACCGGGACCAAAAGGCCTCCTCGACCTTCCAGAATCACATTTCTACTCTGGGCCCCAAAGCACCTTTTAATCCAAGCTCTCTAATTGCACGTGGAGCTTTCCCTGACTCGGTGGGACAGCTAAAACGGCAATGCATTTCTTTCTAAGCACAAACCAGCCCCTGATTGTCTCTGCTTTTCTCCACACCCGGCCATGCAAAACTTTTCATCCCTTTTCATCCCAGGGCTGCACCAGCACAGTCAGTCTGCTGCCTAGGAAGGTGGGGGGGAATTTGCAGCCTGGGGACACAACTACTCCCCCCCCCAACACACACACACACACACACCAGGCTCCCTGCCCACACCCCCGCCCTGTGGGTACCAGTATTTCCCCCTCTGCGACCTTCTCCGCAGTCCCCTCGGCACTAATGGGGCTGAGCTCCAGGCACAAAAGCCAGTCTGGCTCATTCAAGTCCTGAAAAGGACAGCAGAGTCGACAGCACTTGCAGCATTTCAGCCTGGGCACATTTTTCTCCTTCCTTTAAAGTTCGGGAAGATTTTCCTTTCTCTCTTGATTTTTATATTTAGACAGCGGTAGAGATTTGCAATCCAGGGCCCAGGGAAAATTCCAGAAAGAACTCCTACCCTTTGTTAACTACAAACTCTGCGGCTCTCAGGCGAGGGGGCTGCTGCCGCTGCCAGGCCCGCCGAGAGGCACGGGGCTGCCCCTGAGCCGCGGCTTTCTCTGCGTAAATGATGAGACCTGTTGAGAAGCCTGCCTTCCGCCCGATGCCGGTGCCCACACAATCGGAAGAGAGGTTGCCTAGCTCTCCCCAGCGAGGCTTCAGCAATCCTGGCAAGCCCACGCCGCCCGCCCGGCGATGGAAGCGGCCCGGGGGCCTCTCACGCAGGCACACACACACATACACACACACACTCACACACACACACACACACTCGCTCCTCCGGCCCACGGATATCAACAAGCACACACATCTCCATCCACACTGCTAAGCCTACACTCCGATCGTGGGAAACAAAAACATTAAGCAATCACCAAGCAAGTGCCCGCGGAGCCCGGGCCGCAGCATCTGCAGGGAGGGGGCCGCGCGCCCGGAGGCTCTGGGGCCCGACTCCCCAGAGCAGGGGCGGGAAGGAAGACGCTTCGCCGCGGGGGTGCGCGCCCTGGGACGGGGTCAGCGCGGCCGGGGAGAGGGCGACAGTCGGGACGCACCGCCCCGGGCCAGGCGCGAGCGGGCCAGGTCGGGAATCCGGCTGCCCCGGGGCACGCAGACTGCGGCAGCCGCCCGGAGCCGGCCCGGAGAAGGGGGTGCGGGCGGGAGGCAGGGCCAAGCCTGGGGGCCGGGGGGCCGGGGGGCCGACCCACCTGTCTCCGCGAAGCTGATGATCTCGGAGACGCGCTCCTGGCCGTCGGCTCCCGGGCTGGCGTGGCCGTCGAGGTGCGGGATCTCCACGCGGCCGTCCTCGCGCACCTTGCCCGCGTGCAGCTTGCGCAGGGCCGTGACCATGGCGGCCTTGGGCACGGCGTGCGTGATGTTGGGCCGGCCCCGCATCTGCAGGCGGCTCAGGATGTGCCGCTTCACCGCCTCCAGGAAGTCGCCGTCCACTCGGCCCAGCTCCTCGGGCCGCCGGAAGCCGCCGCACGACGTGCAGGTGTCCTGCGGGCCGCCGGGGGCCCCGGGCGGCGCGGGCGGCGGCGCGGCGGGCGAAGGCGGGGGCGTGGGCGAGCCCCCGGCCTCGGGCCCCAGCCAGCCGGCCGCCAGCAGCAGAAGGCAGGCGGCCCCCAGCGCCCTCCCGGGCAGCCCGTCCATGGTGCGCCGCTGGCGACGAGGGCGCCCGCCGCGAGGCGAGCCGAGCCGAGCGCAGGGCCTGGCTCCGGGCTCCCTCCCGGCGCGCCGCCCCGCCCCGCCCCCGCCGCGCCCGCGCCCGCCGGGGGCCTCCGCCCGCCGCCCGGAGGGCCGCCGCCGGCTCGCAGGGGAGGGGGCCCGCCCGGGCGCGGGGTTCCCGCCGGCGGGGTGGGGGCTGCGGGGCGCGGGGCTGGAGGGCGCGCGGGGCGAAGCGGGGCTGACGGTCACTGCCGCGCGGGCGTCTCGGGGCGCCCCGGCATCCGCAGCCCTCTCCCCATCCTCCTCGCGTCGGGGCCCGGCCGCCCCCGCTCGGGTGAAGCGAAAGCCGCGGCGGCTGCGGCGCGGCGGCCGGGCGGGGAGCGCGGCGAGGGCGCCGGTCGGCGCAACTTGGCCAAGACGGAAGCGAGGGCGCCGGAGCCCGGAGCGCGGCCGGGCGCGGCTTGGCGCGGCGCTGCGGCGGGCGCTGCGGCGGAGCCCCGCGCCCGCACCTGGGCGCCTCCTCCTCGCCGGGGAAGGGCCGCGGCGCCGGCGACGGGAGGGTCGTCCTCGCGGGGCCGGCGGGCGCGCGGGCGGGCGGGGGCGCGGCGGGTGCGGTGCCTGGAGCGCCGGACGCGCGGGCCCGCTCGGCGCCGGCGCGGAGTCCTCAGCCGCGGGCCCTGCAGTCCTCCCGGCGCGTCACCCGCAAAGTTGTCTCCAGGCTCCCGGGGCGCCGCATCCACCGCGGGCGGGCCGGCCGCTGCGCGCTCCGCCGGGGCCTCCGCGCCGCCCGCCTCCGCGCCGCCTCCCTGCTCCGGGGCCGGGGCGGCCGGCGAGGCCGAGGCCGGCGCTTCTCCTCCCCGGGGTCTCCGGCTGGGGCGGCGGCGGGGGCGGCTGGCGCGTCGAAAAGTCCGCGTCCCCGGCGCGGTGCCCGGGCTGTCCCGCCGGCGCTCGCCGCAGGCCGGAGAGCGGGCGCTGGCGGCCGCGGCCCCGTCCCCGACCCCGTCCCCGTCCCCGCGCCCGGCCGCGACGCGGAGCGCAGAGCCAGCGGGGAGTGCGCTTTGCCCTCGCTTCTTTTACTCTCCTCGGTTTTTCTCCCAAGGGGGGGAAAAAGCCGCACAATCTCCGTATGTGCGCGCGCGTTGAGATAGACGTTGGCAGAAAAAAGGGGGGGAGCGAGTCTCGTCCTGGCGGTGCGGAGGAGCGGCCCGTGCCGCCCCCTCGGGCTCCCCGGGGGGCGGGGGTGGGGGCCGGCGGGGGAGCGGGAGGCGGAATCCGTGCGGGTCGGCGCTGCCCGCTGCCCCTTCCCGGCCCACCCCCGCTTCCCTCCTTTTTTTTTTTTTTTTTTCTCTTTCTGCTCCTCTGGAAGGAGGGGCGAGCCGGCCTCCTCCCCTCCCCCAGCCCCCGCGAGGCCGGGCCACTTTTGCTCTCTCCAAACTTTCCCAGCACGTGGGCGCCCCGGACCCTCGCCCGGCCGGGCCGCGGGCAGCGCCGACGGACTCGCCCTCCAGGGCGCCGGCGAGTGCCCCCTCCCCGCGCTCGCTCAGGCCCGGCCGCCGCCCTCCGCTGCCCGGAGAGGCACCGCTCGCGGCCACCGCCGCCCCCGGGCCCCCGGGGGTGCGCCCCCCAAGTCCTGGCAAGGCGGGGGCGGCGGGGCGGCCTCGGGCGCCCCCGGCTTCGCTCCGCGGGTGGGTGTCCCCCGGGCCGCAGCGCCCCAGCCGAGCGCCCCGGCGGGCCCGCGTGCTGCGGGCGGCGTGGGCCCCGGGGCTGGAGTGGCCGCGGGGGAGGCGCTGGAGGCCTGGCCGGCCGCCGTCTTTGCCAACTCCCGACACGGAGGAACTTGTCGATGACACGGGGAACCCACCTCCCCGGCAGGCCTCCGAGCCCCAGCGCTTGCCGGGCTGCCAGGGTCGCTAGCACCACCACCACCCCAAAATTGGCAGACCTTGGCAAGACAAGTCCGGGTCCACTGGCGGCTCAGTCACAACCAGCTTTGTGAGAGTGACCTTGGGGAGAATCTTGAGTCTAGCCACTACCTTCTGATCTGTAAAGAGGGGACAATGACACCTCTTCTGTCATGGGCTGGTTGGGGCGCTCAGAGGATACAGCGGGGCCAAGCTCCTCACAGAACCCAGTAAGTGATGGTTCCTGGGCGGACAGATAAGAGACATCGTCCGTCCGTGGAAACGGAATTCCCAGCCCCATTCAGAACTCCAAGTGCACTCCCTCCCCTCGCCCCCCCCCTCGCGCCCCCATGTGGGTGTGGAGCAGCAAGACAATGCCAACAAAGTACAGGGACCCCTCCGGGAACAGGCCCAGCGTTGCATCTCCCAGAGCCCAACCCTCTGTGCAGGGCCCCTGCAACAGGCCCGACTGTGCGGTGGAAGTGGGGTGGGAAGTCAATTCTGGCTTTCCTAGGATAAGGGGGAGCCCAGGACAGCTGAAGCGGTGCTGGCCTTCAGCTAAGGCTTCCACCCGCAGCATCATCCCCCGGCCCAATCAGAGCTTCTGCAGCCAGCCCTGTGGCTGCTGTGGCGCTCGGCGCAGATCAGCAGCCCCACCTAGGCCCACAAGTCTGGAGGTGGAGCGCCCCCTCCCTCCCAGTTGAAGGAACAGACCTGAAGATGCCTGGCCCCTCCCATGAAGCAAAAACAAAGCTGGTTTGGGTTTATCAACCAGAATTCAGAAGCAGGGGCCCAAGAGGGTCTCCGAGATGACATCCCTTAAGCCTCCTTCGGACCATCTACAGAGCCCAGTCCCCTCTCGCTCCCACACTCATAGCGATCTGGACCCACCACCATGATTTGGCTTGCACGTTCTACCAAGCTGTCTTCTAGCTTTTTCCATCACCACAGCCACCAAGCACTTGGGAAACTCATTCTCAGTCTTGAATACCCAGCCCAATCTATCCTTGGTGAAACTCACCATGGCCCTCTTGTGCCCTGAATAGTTATTTGCCAGATTTGGTCCTTCCGCCCAGTGCCTCCTGAGCCCTGTCTAATACCAGACTGGGAAGATGATGGGCAAGGAGGGGGATCTATTGAATGAGTGCTTGGTTGAGTGAGTGAATGAAAGAGACAAGTCATTAAAACAGTGAAGGGGGCCTCCCTGGTGGCACAGCGGGTTGATCGCAGCGCTGTGAAGCTGTCCGCAGCCTCTGCAGCACAGGTTTGATTCCCAGCCGGCCAGGGAGATACCCACATGGCGTGGCAGACCTCTCCTGCCTCGCCTGCTGCCCCCCCTCAGCAGTGTTTCTGGTCCATCTGCCTGTTCTGCTCCCCGCTCTGTCTCTGGTGAATCCTCTCACCCTCCTGTGCCTCTGGCCTGTACCCCAGTTCTTGCATAAATAAATGTTTAAAAAAAAAAAACAGTGAAGGATTTGACAGCCCCCACCCCCAACACAAGCCTTCACAGCAGCATTCCTTGCCTGCCAGTTATAACCTTCTTACTGGGAGTCCCACCTGGACTGGTCAGGGCTGAGGGTGTGTGGGGGCTCCATGCCTTTGAGAAGGTGCAGCATCCTACTGGTTGACCTAGGGCTGGGGAAAGGCAAAAGTCACAGAGCCCTTGCAGATAGGAGGAGGGAAGAGAAGCTAAGAGGAGGGTCCGCATTTTGCTCCCCTGGTGGAGGAGCTGTCAGCCCCACTGCCCGTCATCTGCTGGGAGGGAACTGGGTCAAGCGGTAGTCAGAAACCATCTGCTCGAGAAGCTGGGATTATCCCGCCCTCTGCTGATCCCCCAGGCTGCAGGAGCCAAGGGTGTAAATTGAGTTCTTCCAGATCACCTTGTGCTTTAGGGGGAGCCCCCCAACCCCTACTGAGGGGCAAGGACCTGTTCCTGTTGCTTCAAAGCCTCATTTAGCACTGGGCTCAGTTCTTCTGTGCTGGTGACCTCAGCCTTCAGTCACAGCCAAGGATGTGACTGCGCCTGTCAGTTTTGAATACAATAATGCACATCAATACTGTAGCCAACGCCCTTCACTGGGGCTGCAAGACCAGGCCGCCTCCATACAGAATACTGGCTCCCTGTCACCATCAAGGAACTCGGGCCCAAATAGTAAGGCAAGAGGAAACTTGGCAGACTCAGAGAACCCAGGAGGCTTCCTCAGGGAAGCTCAGCGCACTTACTCTCACAGCAGTTTTTTGGTGTCTTTGTTTGTTTGCATAACATGTAGCTAAATGTCAATTTGGAAATGATGAGAAATGATCAAGAGGGACAAGGCAAACCACAAAGATGAGCTTTTGGGCTCGTTTGCTAGGAGAATTGAGAACCCAGAAGCAGTTCTTGGTCGCATGACCCCTGCAGGAGGTGGGGGTGAAAAGAAGTCCTTCAAATCAGTGGCTGGGCTGAGAGAGGCCTTTGGCAGAGTTGGGCTCAGTGACCTGGTGTTCACTTTTCCACCGCTGGTTTGGCCTCTGTTGCCAAACTTCACCATCACAAACCCTGCTTGTCCTGAACATCTCACTGTCCGCATGGAAGGAGCTGCATGGAAGGAGCAGTGGCCCAAGGCATAGGAGGGAGACAAGCCTGCAGCTGGATACAAAGCAGGATCCAGTTAAGAAGGCCCCAATGTGCAGGGGGTCCAACTGAGCTTTGTAAAATCCCAGATACCCCCTCAGCACAGAACCCCCTCAGGATGACCCAAGGCCACTTTATGCATTAGAGTCACAAAGTCAAGTCCTTGATAGTTGTGAGCATAGGAACGTTATTTTGATAAGACAGTTCTCACCAGGTCAACGAGATGGTGCCCCTTTTGAGGGCCCCAGCAGTTGCCCACATTCATTGGCAAGGATGCCTGTCATCCTAGGCTACGTATGCACTCCCAGGTTAAGACCATCCGTTGCAGCCTGGCACCCAGCATAGTGTCTGACCCCAGGGAGGCTCACAAGCTGAAGTCAGCTCATCACACATGACTGGTGAAAGAACTGAGTCACCATGTGTGACTTGGTCAATGAGCGTGGGGTTCAAAAGCAGACCCTCGAGTTCCAAGTGGTCCTCAAAGCAGGCCACCTCATGTCTGCTCCTTCATGCTCCTCACT